GTCTATAGTTAATATTTGTGACCAGGTATTTCAGTGGTCTATAAGTTGTATTTGTGACTAGGTATCTCAGTGGTCTATAGTTAGTATTTGTGACTAGGTATTTCAGTGGTCTATAGTTAGTATTTGTGACTTGGTATCTCAGTGGTCAATATTTAGTGTTTGTGACTAGGTATTTCAATGGTCTATAGTTAGTATTTGGGACTAGGTATTTCAGTGGTCTATATTTTGTATTTGTGACGAGGTATTTCAGTGGTCTATAAGTTGTATTTGTGACTAGGTATCTCAGTGGTCAATATTTAGTGTTTGTGACTAGATATTTCAGTGGTCTATAGTTAATATTTGTGACTAGGTATTTCAGTGGTCTATATTTAGAATTTGTGACTAGGTATTTCAGTGGTCTATAGTTAATATTTGTGACTAGGTATTTCAGTGGTCTATATTTAGGGTTTGTGACTAGGTATCTCAGTGGTCAATATTAAGTATTTGTGACCAGGTATTTCAGTGGTCTATAGTTCGTATTTCTGACTAGGTATTTCAGTGGTCTATAGTTAGTATTTGTGACCAGGTAGTTCATTGGTCTATAGTAAGTATTTGTGACCAGGTATTTCAGTGGTCTATATTTAGTATTTGTGACTTGGTATCTCAGTGGTCTATAGTTAGTGTTTGTGACCAGGTATTTCAGTGGTCAATATTTAGTGTTTGTGACTAGATATTTTAGTGGTCAATATTAAGTGTGTGTGACTAGGTATTTTAGTGGTTTATAGTTAATATTTGTGACTAGGTATTTCAGTGGTCTATATTTAGAATTTTTGACTAGGTATTTCAGTGGTCTATAGTTAATATTTGTGAATAGGTATTTTAGTGGTCTATATTTAGTGTTTGTGACTAGGTATCTCAGTGGTCAATATTTAGTGTTTGTGACCAGGTATTTCAGTGGTCTATAGTTCGTATTTGTGACTAGGTATTTCAGTGGTCTATATTTAGTATTTGTGACCAGGTATTTCAGTGGTCTATAGTTAGTATTTGTGACCAGGTATTTCAGTTGTCTATAGTTAGTATTTGTGACCAGGTATTTCAGTTGTCTATAGTTAGTATTTGTGACCAGGTATCTCAGTGGTCTATAGTAAGTGTTTGTGAAGTGTTTGTGACCAGGTATCTCAGTGGCGTCTTGCTAGTTTCTGTGACCAGGTATTTCAGTGGTCTATGGTTCGTATTTGTGACTAGGTATTTCAGTGGGCTATAGTAAGTGTTTGTGACCAGGTATCTCAGTGGGTTCTTGCTAGTTTCTGTGACCAGGTATTTCAGCGGTCTATAGTTAATATTTGTGACCAGGCATCTCAGTGGTCTATAGTTAGTGTTTGTGACCAGGTGTCTCAGTGGTTTCTTGCTAGTTTCTGTGACCAGGTATTTCAGTGGTCTATGGTTCGTATTTGTGACTAGGTATTTCAGTGGTCTATATTTAGTATTTGTGACTTCGTATCTCAGTGGTCAATATTTAGTGTTTGTGACTAGGTATCTCAGTGGTCAATATTTAGTGTTTGTGACCAGGTATTTCAGTGGTCTATATTTAGTATTTGTGACCAGGTATTTCAGTGGTCTATGGTTCGTATTTGTGACTAGGTATTTCAGTGGGCTATAGTAAGTGTTTGTGACCAGGTATCTTAGTGGTTTCTTGCTAGTTTCTGTGACCAGGTATTTCAGCGGTCTATAGTTAATATTTGTGACTAGGTATTTCAGTGGTCAATATTTAGTGTTTGTGACCAGGTATTTCAGTGGTCTATGGTTCGTATTTGTGACTAGGTATTTCAGTGGGCTATAGTAAGTGTTTGTGACCAGGTATCTTAGTGGTTTCTTGCTAGTTTCTGTGACCATCAGAAATCTTGGTTAATATAAATTTTATTTCATTCAAAATTAAGTTGCATTACATCACATAACATACAAAGTACAGAAGAATGGGATCCGGAAACAAGTTGAAATAACTGATATAAATCCGTTTCCGAGAATTTATCTCATTAATTTAAAGCATGATGGCGTAGTTAATTGTAAGAATGGTAGTATACAGTTGGGATGATTGCTTCGTTGAAGAACTAGACCAGCATGCGATACTCGATTTGTGACCAGGTATTTCAGTGGTCTATGGTTCGTATTTGTGACTAGGTATTTCAGTGGTCTATATTTAGTATTTGTGACTTGGTATCTCAGTGGTCAATATTTAGTGTTTGTGACTAGGTATTTCAGCGGTCTATAGTTCATATTTGTGACTAGGATCTTCAGTGGTCTATAGTTAGTATTTGTGACTAGGTATTTCAGTGGGCTATAGTAAGTGTTTGTGACCAGGTATCTCAGTGGGTTCTTGCTAGTTTCTGTGACCAGGTATTTCAGTGGTCTATAGTAAGTGTTTGTGACCAGATATCTCAGTGGTTTCTTGCTAGTTTCTGTGACCAGGTATTTCAGTGGTCTATAGTTAGTGTTTGTGACCAGGTATCTCAGTGGTTTCTTGCTAGTTTCTGTGACCATCAGAAATCTCGGTTAATATAAATTTTATTTCATTCCAAATTAAGTTGCATTACATCACATAACATACAAAGTACAGAGGAATGGGATCCGGAAACAAGTTGAAATAACTGATATAAATCCGTTTCCGAGAATTTATCTCATTAATTTAAAGCATGATGGCGTAGTTAATTGTAAGAATGGTAGTATACAGTTGGGATGATTGCTTCGTTGAAGAACTAGACCAGCATGCGATACTCGAGGAAGGTCGATATCGTTATCGGGATTCAGAAAGATTGTAATACAGAAGTGTTTAACTCACCTGGCACGATGGGTTAAGTAAGTGTCTGCCGTGGTGTTGAGTCCTTAAAACGACTTCTTCTCAATAATGGTCTAGGGTCATGATATGTGGATAGTACAGGCTAGAATGAAGGGGTATGAAGTTTGTTCAAATGAGATACCTTTGCCCCTGTTCAAGGTCTCATAGGTTATACTGTATATCCGATGAAAACATTGAAACGACTTATTCTGATTTATCAAAAGGTCTAGGGTTCAGATTCTTGGCCAGTAGCATGTTAAGATGAAGGCTTTAATCAGTCTTCAAATGAATTATTTTCATCTATATTTAATGTCACGGGGTAAAATATGTCAAAAATGTTAAACGGCTTATTTAAATCACATAACAGACTAGGGTGATGCTATTTGATCAGTGTTATTCTGGGATGAATGGTTATCAAGTTTGTTCAAAGAAATGTCGTTGATATCCTTTTAACGTCACGGGGTTTACTGTGCTCAACTTGCAATGACCTCTTCTCAATGACTAACCTAGAGTCCTAGTTTAATGGTATTTGGCTAATAATATGCTGTGATGAAGTGCTATCGGTTTTTTTTTTCTCCAAATGAATGGCTAAGAATGATAGATAATGGCATGGCCTGTAGCTGGATTTAGTCCATTTACATATATTTGACTTTGGTCCACTTTTAAGTTAAAAGATTTAAGATAATATCAGGTGTGCTAAGCTGGCCCACTAGACCTCTTGTTCGTCTTTCGAAAAGTTACTGTATATGTAGGATTTCCTTGGTTATTAAGCAAGGCTAGTTTCTTTTGTGTAAGCAGGAAATATAATAGTGTATACAGGTTTGTCTGCAGACAAAAGTACATTTACGTACGTATCATGCAAACCGTTGAAGTGGTTTAAACATTATGGACAAGAAACAGTATTGTGTTTTCATTTTTTTAAATTCAAACTGCTTTTTCTTTAAATCATTGACCTGATATAGATTTTACTCTCTCTGAAAAGGATCCAATTCAGCTGCTCTCAGTTTGCCATTTGTCCGGAGTAGCCTTCCACCGAAACCATCAGGATGTTGAAATGTACATCCGTGCTGATAGTAGGAGTCTCTCAATACTGACATGTAGCACCCTTCATGAAATGAGGTTGTAGCTTTGCATTGTAGATGATATTTAGATGCAAGTTACTGCATGTCCAGTTTGTTTTCTTAATATAATCAGATATTAATGGTTAAACCTGAAGGTGCAATCACCTGTTGTAGCTGCGTTCATCTTTCAAGATACGAGATTTGGTAGTCCCCGAGGTTTGGTAGTCCCCGAGATTTGGTAGTCCCCGAGGTTTGGTAGTCCCCGAGGTTTGGTAGTCCCCGAGGTTTGGTAGTCCCCGAGATTTGGTAGTCCCCGAGATTTGGTAGTCCCCGAGGTTTGGTAGTCCCCGAGGTTTGGTAGTCCCCGAGATTTGGTAGTCCCCGAGGTTTGGTAGTCCCCGAGATTTGGTAGTCCCCGAGGTTTGGTAGTCCCCGAGATTTGGTAGTCCCCGAGGTTTGGTAGTCCCCGAGATTTGCGGTAAACTTGGTGGACACACTTATCTTTTTTGAGTAAATAGTACGATTCATACAAACTATGCTAAATATTTAACTTGATGTGAACCAGTACGTCTCTAAATATTTAACTTGATGTGAACCAGTACGTCTCTAAATATTTAACTTGATGTGAACCATTACGTCTCTAAATTTTGAAATTTGCAAGTTTATTGGTTGTACGCACCTGCCCTTATACAAAATTCTTTGCCGCCACTCAAGTTTTAATTCCGTGGTTTTGGCAAGATATAAATTCCTTTGTCTTCATACCACTGATAGAATATATTTGCAAACTTAGTTTTTTTTATATTTGAATAATACGTGAAGTATGTTTTGTGTTTTAAAAGGTTAAATACCTTAAAAAACAAAAGGAACCTGTGTGTGTGACAAAAGTCAGTGTGCTTTAATATCCGGTGCAATTTTTAAGCTAATTATTGCTTATATCTTATTTCTTCAACCATTAAGATACCATTTACCCACATAGATATGTGATGTGTGCATAAATATTACATCAATAAATTTGAGTGATATGATTACGCGTCTTAAACATGTTAAATCAAAATAATTGTAATTTAGATGTGTGTTGTCCGGTCATATTTGCTATTTAGACTGTCCTTGATCATGTGATCATCTTTTCTGTCCAAAATGGCGGCCGCCGTGAAAGTATCGAGTGTTTTTCGCAAAAGTCTTTTCAAGGGAAAAGTTGCTATAGTAACGGGAGGTGGAACTGGTATTGGAAAAGCAATAACACAAGAACTTCTGCATTTAGGTAAATATTCTTTTTTGAGATAAATTAGCTTGGTTGTGTCGATTTCTGTCTGTAAAACTTTACTAAAGTACAAAGTACATTGTGATTGCACGAATCCGAAAACAGCTGGATAATTAGTCCAAGTTTCCTCTGGCCCTGACACCAGACTTAGACAGGTTGACAAATACACGTCTGTACCAGACTTGGACATTTTGACAAATGTCTCTTAAAATGTTTAAGTCTGGTGTCAGGGCTAGAGGAAATTCGGGCTACTGGATAACCATAGTCCAACCGTCATTACGGAGTCCATATTTGTGCATTCATTCAAAGGAGATTGGATACTTTTATTGTATCCTGTTTAACTCATTCAAGATCTACTACTGTAAATTAAACCATGTTAGAATCACATCTTATTCTAGTGAAATAGTCGCCACCATTGAAACACAGGGACCTGATAATTTGTGTAGTACGTATGCTTGAACCATCCTTATGTGAAGAGAGTAATATTAGATCAATACGTCTAATAATACTTTCTAATACACTTCAGTTCATATAGCTATAGGTCCAAAGTTAAACATACCAGTGATTTTTGTCTCTTTTACACATGGGCCAGCTGTGAGGCTGAGTCTCTTTAGGACAATATCAAAAATCAAAAGCATGATGAACAATTTGTAAAAAAAAAAGTGATTTTTGCATTTATTTTGGGAAAATGCTGTAGAAATTTTCCAGGGAGAGAAGTGCCATTTGAAAGAACTACTTTTTCCCTAGGGTGTACATATAAACACATATTATTTATGCTTTCTTAATTCTGAGTGCACATAATCTCATCCCATGGAAATTTCAAATAGTTGGCAAGTATGCAAATACCCTTTAAAAAATCACTGCATACTCTGTACTAGTCTAATATATCATCTTCATCTTTCTGGACTTTCTCCTTTAACTTTTTATTAATTGGGTTGTCTCTGTCCTAATTTCATGTCCCTGTGTGTGGAGGTGCAGACAGTAAATAAATTAAAACTATGAACAGGTTGGGATATCCTCTCACCATACCAACTGTGCTTCTTGTCATCAATTACAATTCATTATCCATTAGTCAGAAAAAAAAGTTCTGTGCATTCTAAAAGTGAAGTAGACTGCAAATTAGACAACATGTTTTTAAAAGTTTTGATTCCGAATGTAGTTGATAGCCTACATATCTTAGTCAGTGAATGCCGATATGACTTCGTTTAGATTTAGAGGTATTTTTAAATGAAGAACATGGTCAGTTTATCTCTACATCATGATCAATGTACACAAATGTGTCTGAGTTAAAAAGGTTTTTCATCCTCTGACTTGAAATGATACAATAGAGTTTCAGTACATCCTCTCAACTGTGAAAATATTCCCAACCTGCTTAATTACCATACACAAATACCTGTGTAGTTATGTAGCCACAGCATTTACAAAAAGACGAAACAAGCAGAACTCTGCCTGGTGTTTTAAGTGGTCAATGCACTGAGAGAGATAAACGAGTAGGGCAGATTCTTTCTTCTTCCACAATTCAACAGCAATATTTATGTTCTGTGGGAGTGTACTATGATAATACTGTTGTATTGTAGGATGTAAGGTTATGATAGCTTCGAGGAACATTGAGAGGATACAGAAAGCTGCTGAAGAAATGAGGTCTACAGTCGTCCCAAATAAACCCACAAACCTAGCTCACATGCAGTGTAACATCAGGAAAGAAGATAATGTGAGTGAACAAACATGCATTGTTAGCTGATCATGAGCATATATAGGAACTCTTCCCTGTTGATGCTAATGAATATAGGTTCTTATTTTTGGTAGATGAGTTTTGAATTGTATTATATATGTACCTGGTATCTATTATATTAGCAAGGTGTTGCTGATCAAAAGTTTCATCAATCTCAATAGACACATTTTATATCCATTTTATCATATAACCTGACAATTACAAAATGTACAGGACTTTTATGCCTTCAATGTCACAATTTTGACTTTTAGTCATTTGTGTTCAGTTTTTGTCACAATGCCACAAAGTTTAGTCAATTTTACGATTCTGATGTTGTAATGGACATTTTACCTGACAAAATGTTGAGTAAAAATATGACATTGGCTTATTATTCACTACAGACAATGGTAGAGTGTACTTATATATCTCTACAATGATCTATATCTCTGATTTCAGGTAAAAGACCTCATCTCTAGTACCTTGAAGCAGTTCGGGAAAATAGACTACGTGGTCAACAATGGCGGTGGTCAGTTTCCATCCCCGGCCAGCAATATATCAGTGAAGGGCTGGAATGCTGTCATAGACACAAACCTCACAGGGACATTCATCGTGTGTAGGGAAGGTGAGTGTCAGGTATATCTACACACATATCACAGGGACATTCAACATGTGTAGGGAGGGTGAGTGTCGGGTATATCTACACAAATATCACAGGGACATTCATCATGTGTAGGGAGAGTGAGTGTCAGGTATATCTACACAAACCTCACAGGGACATTCATCGTGTGTAGGGAGGGTGAGTGTCGGGTATATCTACACAAATCTCACAGGGACGTTCATCGTGTGTAGGGAGGGTGAGTGTCGGGTATATCTACACAAATCTCACAGGGACATTCATCGTGTGTAGGGAGGGTGAGTGTCAGGTATATCTACACAAATCTCACTGGGACGTTCATCGTGTAGGGAGGGTGAGTGTCAGGTATATCAACACAAATCTCACAGGGACATTCATCGTGTGTTGGGAGGGTGAGTTTCAGGTATATCTACACAAATCTCACAGGGACATTCATCGTGTGTAGGGAGGGTGAGTGTCAGGTATATCTACACAAACCTCACAGGGACATTCATCGTGTGTTGGGAGGGTGAGTGTCGGATATATCTACACAAATATCACAGGGACATTCAACATGTGTAGGGAGGGTGAGTGTCAGGTATATCTACACAAATCTCACAGGAACATTCATCGTGTGTAGGGAAGGTGAGTGTCAGGTATATCTACACAAATCTCACAGGGACATTCATCGTGTGTAGGAATGGTGAGTGTTGGGTATATCTACACAAATCTCACAGGGACATTCATCGCCTGTAGGGAGAGTGAGTGTCGGATATATCTACACAAATATCACAGGGACATTCATTGTGTAGGGAGGGTGAGTGTCAGGTATAACTACACAAATCTCACAGGGACATTCATCGTGTGTTGGGAGGGTGAGTGTCAGGTATTTCTCCCACACCTGACAGATTTATCTCCCGTTTTGCCGGTACTAGATTTATCTGTCTCCGCCCTAGGGTTGAGACGGGGGGATTCCCCTTTTCATAACAATGGCGTGACGTCACTTCAACAATATATTGACGTCACGTCAACAATCCATCAACAAATTGCCTGTATGTGTTTTGGGTCCATGTTTACCTTTATTTCACATTAAAATATTGTTAGATATGGGAGAAAAATAATCAATCGCTACTGGTTGCGTAAGATAGAGAAATCTCAACCCTCGGACTAAGATTTTTGTCCAGAACTCGGCAAGCCTCGTTCTGGACAAAAAATCTTAGTCCTCGGGTTGAGATTTCTCTATCTTACACAACCAGTGGCGAAAGATTCTATTAATCTACACAAATCTCACAGGGACATTCATTGTGTGTAGGGAGGGTGAGTGTCAGGTATATCTACACAAATCTCACAGGGACATTCATCGTGTGTTGGAAGGGTGAGTGTCAGGTATATCTACACAAATCTCACAGGGACATTCATCGTGTGTAGGGAGGGTGAGTGTCAGGTATATCTACACAAATCTCACAGAGACATTCATCGTGTGTAGGGAGGGTGAGTGTCAGTGTTTTCTACACAAATTATTTATATGCAATCAATAAGTTTGGCTATTGTGGTAATGATTAAGTATTGCATGCTTCAATTGTTATAGAGGAAAATGCCATTGCAACATTTTTGATATAGGGATAATATCACTATTGCCTTTTTCTGTTATTGGTATCTTTCCAAATATTTTGTTGAAAAATACATTATATGCGTTTATATTATGTGTATGTAAAGTAGTACCCTTGTCAAGTGATTTCCTCTGAGTTATTTACATTTTGGTAAAAATTAAAATTCTTATGATATTATACCTAAAGGTATATACAAGACTCCTTTTTAAATGTTTTAAAAAAAATAGATAAATTTTTGGCTCATATTTAAGCAAACAGCGATATACACAAAATAACACTTTTAGTGAAAAAGACTTTTCAGGCTTTGAGTAGAAAAATGAACTTTTGAAACAAACAAAAGTAAAAAATTTACTACATTTATATTTGTTATTCAATAGGAAAGGAAGACTGCCTATGCACTGTAGTAACTTTTAGACAACAGACTGCAGTGACTCTGTCAAAAGTTTGACTTATTGTAACAATCTTAACAAACTTACAGTCTATAGATAGGACGTTAATGGCTGCACAATTTACACAAAGTCACTGTTACATGACGCTGTTGATAGGACGTTAATGGCTGCACAATTTACACAAAGTCACTGTTACATGACAGCTGTTGATAGGACGTTAATGGCTGCACAATTTACACAAGGTCACTGTTACATGACAGCTGTTGATAGGACGTTAATGGCTGCACAATTTACACAAGGTCACTGTTACATGACAGCTGTTGATAGGACGTTAATGGCTGCACAATTTACACAAGGTCACTGTTACATGACAGCTGTTGATAGGACGTTAATGGCTGCACAATTTACACAAGGTCACTGTTACATGACAGCTGTTGATAGGACGTTAATGGCTGCACAATTTACACAAGGTCACTGTTACATGACAGCTGTTGATAGGACGTTAATGGCTGCACAATTTACACAAGGTCACTGTTACATGACAGCTGTTGATAGGACGTTAATGGCTGCACAATTTACACAAGGTCACTGTTACATGACAGCTGTTGATAGGACGTTAATGGCTGCACAATTTACACAAGGTCACTGTTACATGACAGCTGTTGATAGGACGTTAATGGCTGCACAATTTACACAAGGTCACTGTTACATGACAGCTGTTGATAGGACGTTAATGGCTGCACAATTTACACAAGGTCACTGTTACATGACAGCTGTTGATAGGACGTTAATGGCTGCACAATTTACACAAGGTCACTGTTACATGACAGCTGTTGATAGGACGTTAATGGCTGCACAATTTACACAAGGTCACTGTTACATGACAGCTGTTGATAGGACGTTAATGGCTGCACAATTTACACAAGGTCACTGTTACATGACAGCTGTTGATAGGACGTTAATGGCTGCACAATTTACACAAGGTCACTGTTACATGACAGCTGTTGATAGGACGTTAATGGCTGCACAATTTACACAAGGTCACTGTTACATGACAGCTGTTGATAGGACGTTAATGGCTGCACAATTTACACAAGGTCACTGTTACATGACAGCTGTTGATAGGACGTTAATGGCTGCACAATTTACACAAGGTCACTGTTACATGACAGCTGTTGATAGGACGTTAATGGCTGCACAATTTACACAAGGTCACTGTTACATGACAGCTGTTGATAGGACGTTAATGGCTGCACAATTTACACAAGGTCACTGTTACATGACAGCTGTTGATAGGACGTTAATGGCTGCACAATTTACACAAGGTCACTGTTACATGACAGCTGTTGATAGGACGTTAATGGCTGCACAATTTACACAAGGTCACTGTTACATGACAGCTGTTGATAGGACGTTAATGGCTGCACAATTTACACAAGGTCACTGTTACATGACAGCTGTTGATAGGACGTTAATGGCTGCACAATTTACACAAGGTCACTGTTACATGACAGCTGTTGATAGGACGTTAATGGCTGCACAATTTACACAAGGTCACTGTTACATGACAGCTGTTGATAGGACGTTAATGGCTGCACAATTTACACAAGGTCACTGTTACATGACAGCTGTTGATAGGACGTTAATGGCTGCACAATTTACACAAGGTCACTGTTACATGACAGCTGTTGATAGGACGTTAATGGCTGCACAATTTACACAAGGTCACTGTTACATGACAGCTGTTGATAGGACGTTAATGGCTGCACAATTTACACAAGGTCACTGTTACATGACAGCTGTTGATAGGACGTTAATGGCTGCACAATTTACACAAGGTCACTGTTACATGACAGCTGTTGATAGGACGTTAATGGCTGCACAATTTACACAAGGTCACTGTTACATGACAGCTGTTGATAGGACGTTAATGGCTGCACAATTTACACAAGGTCACTGTTACATGACAGCTGTTGATAGGACGTTAATGGCTGCACAATTTACACAAGGTCACTGTTACATGACAGCTGTTGATAGGACGTTAATGGCTGCACAATTTACACAAGGTCACTGTTACATGACAGCTGTTGATAGGACGTTAATGGCTGCACAATTTACACAAGGTCACTGTTACATGACAGCTGTTGATAGGACGTTAATGGCTGCACAATTTACACAAGGTCACTGTTACATGACAGCTGTTGATAGGACGTTAATGGCTGCACAATTTACACAAGGTCACTGTTACATGACAGCTGTTGATAGGACGTTAATGGCTGCACAATTTACACAAGGTCACTGTTACATGACAGCTGTTGATAGGACGTTAATGGCTGCACAATTTACACAAGGTCACTGTTACATGACAGCTGTTGATAGGACGTTAATGGCTGCACAATTTACACAAGGTCACTGTTACATGACAGCTGTTGATAGGACGTTAATGGCTGCACAATTTACACAAGGTCACTGTTACATGACAGCTGTTGATAGGACGTTAATGGCTGCACAATTTACACAAGGTCACTGTTACATGACAGCTGTTGATAGGACGTTAATGGCTGCACAATTTACACAAGGTCACTGTTACATGACAGCTGTTGATAGGACGTTAATGGCTGCACAATTTACACAAGGTCACTGTTACATGACAGCTGTTGATAGGACGTTAATGGCTGCACAATTTACACAAGGTCACTGTTACATGACAGCTGTTGATAGGACGTTAATGGCTGCACAATTTACACAAGGTCACTGTTACATGACAGCTGTTGATGGGACGCTAACTTTACTTAACCAAACCAAACCATTGAATAATTTTGTCAAAACTTTGTTTGTAAAATATCTGTCATAGCTGTACTTTTCCTCCAGATGTATATATCAGAAGGAGTCTTGTTAAGAAGCTACCTGGTACTGATAAATGTGTGAATCCTGTCTGTTGTCAGCATAGATTGTAACTAGTTCATTGTCCTGTCCTGATTGTGGGACTCTGTCTGATATTTTTTAATTTGTTCCTGGGAATATTATGTTGTTTCCAGTGTACAACCAGTGGATGGAACAGAATGGTGGAGTAATAGTTAACATCATAGCAGACATGTGGAAGGGTTTCCCCACCATGAGGTATGTAGCGTCATAATCCTAACATATTGGTGGCAACATTATAGCAGACATGTGGAAGGGTTTCCCCTCCATGAGGTATGTAGTGTCATAATCCTAACATATTGGTGTCAACATTATAGCAGACATGTGGAAGGGTTTCCCCTCCATGAGGTATGTAGTGTCATAATCCTAACATATTGGTCTCAACATCATATCAGACATGTGGAAGGGTTTCCCCCCCATGAGATATGTAGTGTCATAATCCTAACATATTGGCGTCAACATCATATCAGACATGTGGAAGGGTTTCCCCCCCATGAGATATGTAGTGTCATAATCCTAACATATTGGTGTCAACATCATTTCAGACATGTGGAAGGGTTTCCCCTCCATGAGGTATGTATAGTGTCATAATCCTAACATATTGGTGTCAACATCATATCAGACATGTGGAAGGGTTTCCCCTCCATGAGGTATGTAGTGTCATAATCCTAATATATTGGTGTCAACATCATATCAGACATGTGGAAGGGTTTCCCCACCGTGAGGTATGTAGTGTCATAATCCTAATATATTGGTGTCAACATCATATCAGACAGGTGTAAGGGTTTCCCCTCCATGAGGTATGTAGTGTCATAATCCTTACATATTGGTGTCAACATCATATCAGACCTGTGGAAGGGCTTCCCCTCCATGAGGTATGTAGTGTCATAATCCAAATATATTGGTGTCAACATCATATCAGACAGGTGTAAGGGTTTCCCCTCCATGAGGTATGTAGTGTCATAATCCAAATATATTGGTGTCAACATCATATCAGACATGTGGAATAGTGTCATAATCCTAACATATTGGCGTCAACATCATATCAGACATGTGGAAGGGTTTCCCCACCATGAGGTATGTATAGTGTCATAATCCTAACAGATTTGTGTCAACATCATAGCAAACATGTGGAAGAGTTTCCCCTCCATGAGGTATGTAGTGTCATAATCCTAACATATTGGTGGCGACATCATATCAGACATGTGGAAGGGCTTCCCCTCTATGAGGTATGTAGTGTCATAATCCTTACATATTGGTGTCAACATCATATCAGACATGTGGAAGGGATTCCCCACCATGAGGTATGTAGTGTGATAATCCTAACAGATTTGTTTCAACATCATAGCAAACATGTGGAAGAGATTCACCTCCATGAGGTATGTAGTGTCATAATCCGAACATATTGGTGGCAACATCATATCAGACATGTGGAAGGGTTTCCCCACCATGAGGTATGTAGTGTCATAATCCTAACAGATTTGTTTCAACATTATAGCAGACATATAGAAGGCTTCCAAAAGTATTGATCAATCAATCTAAAATACCCCAAACAATATCAGTGACTACAGTGATGGTTTACTTGACCTACAATGTGTTTGTAGATTTGTTGAGTAAAACCAGTTCCTTATGTTTTCTTCACCAAAATTGATAATGGACGGATTGGTCGAGTGGTTACCACTTCGGCTTTACATGCAGGCGGCCGGGGTTCGATCCATGAAGTTGTCACACACATGGAATATCAGAGAACGTGTTTTTCTCCTGCCCACACAACTCCAACAACTCAGGTGGAGTATAAAATGGTCTGGGGTGGATGCTGCAGTATCTGTGCTGTGGTATTTAAGTGAGGTGGCACTATAAAAGATGCCGTTGGAAGCACGGTCCTACTACAAAACATAACTCAATACATCTCCAGCACACACGCAGGCATACTCACATAGGGAGATATTAGCCAGGTGGCATAGGACTAGTAGTTAGCGCCTGATAAGGCAGCTCCTGCGAATTCCTCAAAATTGTATTGATTAAATTATAATTATGCTAATTGTATTAATTGTATATATATGTACTGTAAAGCACTTTAGAGTGGCTTATGTTAGCTAGATAGGGCGCTATATCAAATGTTGATTATTATTATTATTAATAATTGATGGCCACAACATTTACCAAGGATCATTGATGAAGTTGAAATGGTGCTGATATTTGCAGTAATTTGGTGAAGTTGGTTAATTTCTTACAGAATATCCACACTGCCTTAGCAATGTATTTTTGTAGAAACAAGTGAAAGCTAGGTTTAGTTGGTGGCAGTTATAATGACATTTATTTCCACTTCTTTTAGTCACACTGGAGCTGCCCGGGCTGGTGTGGACAACTTGACCAAGACTCTGGCTATTGAGTGGGCACCAGATGGAGTAAGGGTGAACTCTGTGGCACCGGTAAGAGTTAGGGTGAACGCTGTGGCACCGGTAAGAGTTATGGTGAACTCTGTGGCATCGGTAAGAGTTAGGGTGAACTCTGTGGCACCAGTAAGAGTTAGGGTGAATGCTGTGGCACGGGTAAGAGTTAGGGTGAATGCTGTGGCACTGGTAAGAGTTAGGGTGAACGCTGTGGCACCAGTAAGAGTTAGGGTGAATGCTGTGGCACGGGTAAGAGTTAGGGTGAACGCTGTGGCACCGGTAAGAGTTAGGGTGAACTCTGTGGCACCAGTAAGAGTTAGAGTGAATGCTGTGGCACCAGTAAGAGTTAGGGTGAATGCTGTGGCACGGGTAAGAGTTAGGGTGAACGCTGTGGCACCGGTAAGAGTAAGGGTGAACGCTCTGGCACCAGTAAGAGTTAGGGTGAACTCTGTGGCACCGGTAAGAGTTAGGGTGAACTCTGTGGCACCAGTCAGAGTTAGAGTGAATGCTGTGGCATGGGTAAGAGTTAGGGTGAACGCTGTGGCACCGGTAAGAGTTAGGGTGAACGCTGTGGCACCAGTAAGAGTTAGGGTGAACTCTGTGGCACCGGTAAGAGTTAGGGTGAACTCTGTGGCACCAGTAAGAGTTAGAGTGAACGCTGTGGCACCGGTAAGAGTTAGGGTGAAAGTTGTGGCACCGGTAAGAGTTAGGGTGAACGCTGTGGCACTGGTAAGAGTTAGGGTGAATGCTGTGGTACCGGTAAGAGTTATGGTGAACTCTGTGGCACCAGTAAGAGTTAGGGTGAACTCTGTTGCACCGGTAAGAGTTAGGGTGAACACAGTGGCACGGTTAAGAGTTAGGGTGAACGCTGTGGCACTGTTAAGAGTTCATGCAATTGTCCTGTTCCTGGCTTTGATCTTCATCTCAAATTTTGGTACTTTGTTCATTCTGAAATGTTGAATGTCCATCTATTCAGCATTTTGTTTACAAATGATAATTTTTAGGTTATCTTATTTCAAATGATTTTAACTTTCGCGATTCTGATTGAAAAAATAATTCTACATCCCATTCGCTGGTATTTTTCATGTGCTGGTTTTGTAAGTTAGACTCACAATTAAGCACCATTATATGTATACCTAGCCTGCTTCTAATGTCAGGCCAGTGAGATATCTCAACAGATAGTATCCATATTGGTTCATCTCCAGTGATTCATTGAACCACACCAGACATCTGTCTATCATAGTGTCACAGGTTTGGTGTTGGCACCATTGAAACTCGGTCAACTTAATTCCCAACACACTTATTAACTCATTCACCCCTGAAGACACATTTGAAATCTTCCAATTTAAAACTTGGAATAGTTCATTATATAATTTCAGGGGTGAAAGAGTTAATAAAATTTACCAGATTAAGGTCGTAGGAGTGTATTGCTAAACGGAAATAGGAAGTACATGCCTAGTTGAAAACCCAATATAGGGAGACAGTATCACAATCTCCGCATATTCTAATGTTTAATATTAAACTGATGAATATTGTATGTTTATTATTGACCTTATTGACAGAACAGTATGTTCTTTCAATATAAAGTATTTCAAAGCAATCTAGGCATTAATTCAGTTGTTTTTTAATCAATGAGTCACATGTGTCCATTTTTCTGTACTTCAGGAAACCGGCTACCTATTACACTACTGTGAAGTTTTTCAATAACGATAACTCTTTCATGCAATTACTATGTGTATATGGTTTTATTATAAAATGTCAATTTTTAATCGTTTATAGATAATTCATTTTACACAATTTCAGTATTTATGAAATTGATATATATTAATGCAATACTAATCTATGTCAGTATCATGTTTATTGACATTATATTGGAAAAAATTGTGTTTCATTTTTTTTTTTACAAAATTCACTCCTTTTTACGTAAATTTCCATTTAAAATCCTTAAAATTCTCACAACCTATATTTTTTTTGTGGCAGAAAATTTGTTTACTTCCAAGCAATATAACTACAAAATTAGAAGAAATTCTACTGAGAAATGGCGACACAATCCTATTACCTTAACAAACTTTGACTTCATAGACCGTTTATTTGTCATAGACTTCTACACTCGAAATTATCATCTAACACTAAACTTAATTTTATACAGGGAAGTTTCATTTACTCCGAGACTGCAGCAGCTAATTACGGAGATAGTAAGATATTTCATCACATGTTAGATGTTGTACCTGTGAAGCGACTTGGGACTCCGGAGGAGGTAGGTATCCTGTGTATTGTGTGTAGCATATTTGGAGGCAAATACCAAGGGATATATACCTAAGCAATGTGCGATAACTGTGCTTTTCCGCCGCAATATCAAATCAGAATAAAAAAAATCTGCCATTATTTATGTAATTACTTTCAAATCATCATACCTTTATGAATTTGTCTGATTTTAAGAAAATCTGTGTAACCATGTACAAATGCATATGGTCCATTTTGACAGCGAATATTAATATTGATTTTGTAAATGTATCCTGCACTGTGATAATGATCAATTTCTAGCTGTTGTAACGAAATTATAAAATGTAGATTGGTCCAATAAATATTTTAACATGAAATGTTTTACGACTATGATATATTAAAACATCAAAGAGGAGGAAAGCAGCGCTCTATACAATCGTATTGAGAATGCCCACAGGTATGCCAGCTTTGTGATGTTAATGGTATTCTGCTTCATTATATACTATCAGACAAAAGCAAGAATAAATTACCAGTATTTAGTGAAATGGAAAAAATATAATTTGAAAATGACAATAATTGTGTCACCAGCTTTATTTTACCAATACTGATTAGATTGGTTAGAGCTTGGTTAAAATTGAGTGTATTTGGTTCTGACTTGATGTTTTAGGTGTCGTCATGTGTGTGCTACTTGCTGTCACCTGCCGCCAGCCTCATTTCCGGAGAAACCGTCAAAGTCGATGGTGCCGCAAGTCTCCACAACACAAAGTATGAGATAAGGGGTAAGTAATACCACAATATTACAGGCAGATAGTCCACATTTTCTTTAAATTCCCAGATCAGTAGATTTACCAGCAGTTTTCCTGTAGTAAGTCTGACAGGCCTCATGAACATAAGGGAGTAAAGTGGATACTATGCTCGCTGGTTCTTTGTGCTGTAAGAACAACATATTTATAGAAATTACCCCTTAGCCCTAGAGTATATTTACACATAGTAGATTCCACATGATGTACAAAGTTCTGTAAACCTTCAGTCAGATAGAACAAAACTAAATGAGTATTGCCAGTCCTGTTCACATCACACAAAGGTATAGCCACTATAGATTTGAAGAGAGTTTGAATAATACATAAAGTTTACATTGGTGAAAATCACAGCAAACAGTCAAGTTGCTGATATGGAACAATAATGGTTTTCATGGGGGAGGAGGAATGTGTTCAAACCTCCTACCCAACTGAATTCACCGAAGGTTTACCACATTTTTTTTAATAAATTTCCGAACACAGACCCACTTCAGAAATCCAAAGAAGCACTTCAGAGAGGAAGTTTATGTAACTAAGAGGTGACCATCTAAATCTGTTATCCTACATCACTGTTACTCTTAATGTGTCCTGTCACTTATGTTACAGATCACAACAAACTGCCAGCATTCACATGGAAGGATTTTAACCCTGATGATGAAGATGATGATGGACCCAAATCCAAACTTTAAATGATTCGGTTGGAATCCAGTCGTGTTGTGAATACCATGTGTGTGAGTGGAGATCGTGTGTGATACTTGTGAATGCTGATTTTAAGGATTAATATGTTAACCAGTTTTGAATTGATAAGATTAAAGTTGTGTAAATTTTGTTGAATTTTAATTGTGTTGATATACAATGTAAATTTATTAATATATGCGCAGACTAAATTATGTAAAAATTTAAACATGTAAGACTTATTGTTATAGTTTTCCAGAATATCAGTAAGGACAGATGCAATTTAGTGCATACTTTGCTTTTTGTATGGATTTAAAGTACAACTGTATTGACTTTTCACCTAATATAAACATACAGTAAAACCTTGTTATACTGCCAACATTTGTCCAAAGAAATTTTGATGTTATGGAAGGGTCTAGTAATAGATTGAGGGAAATGTTTTAAAAGAATTTTTAAGAAAACAAGCAAAAAAGGGCCATTGAAACACATGTACTAGCCTCGTCTGTCAATACACCTATAATATTATAGGTGTATTGACAGACGAGGCTAGTTTGGTTTGGTTTAGTAATGTTTAACGTCCTATCAACAGCTATGGTCATTTTGGGAGGCTGCGATATGTTCGTGTTTGTCTCCTTGTGGTAGCGCAGAACTGATGCCGACTTTATAGTGCTACCTCACTGAAACATACTGCCGAAGACGCCCAGCAGGACACCCCACCTGGTCACATTATACTGACAACGGGCAAACCAGTCGTCCCACTCCTAAATTGCTGAGCGTTAAGCAGGACTAAAAACTACCATTTTTACAGACTGAGTACCTGTGATTGAAATATGTTAGCGATAAAAGAAGTGGTAAATGCAACAAGGGGCATTATATCCAGGTTTTAATGTATTTGCTGAAACTTCTCTGGGATGTTTTTTAGTAGTTTCTTATAGGGTTGAAAAGAGAAAACAATGTAATTCCTAATTTTGAATAAGTCTGAATTTCATATAATCCAGAGAACCTGTCATTCCACTCATTTTATAGAGCTGGAGCAAGACTACTTCTAATACAGTTATGTACATATATGGTATGCTGACTTTGTATTCAAAATGAGAAGGGCAGCATTTATAGTTTCTAGATGATCATTTTTTTTAAACCAATTTAGAAAAAAAAAAAAATTTTTTGCACAGTTCCTTTTATCAATGGATACAGAAATGCCCCTTGGTATAATAATAAATAATAATAATTTGAGGTTCTTATATACCGCTTTATCACAACCTAGTTCGTAGGTCATCTCAAAGCGATTCCCAAATTATTCTCCGTGGTTATAGGGTCTTTGTAACCAGCCAATATCTTTCTCAACTCCCTGGGGAGCATACAGCCAGTGCTGCCATTTCGGCGCTCACAGCTAGCATTCAACAATTCTAGCACTACCCAACCACGTTCTCATTTACAGCTGAGTAGACTGGAACAGGCGGAGTAAAGTATCTTGCTCATAGATACAACACAGTACAGATGTAGTGTTCTTGCTTCAGTCAGTTTTTGCCAAAGGGGGAAGCGAGTTGTTATACTGTGATATGAGTGTTAGTATTAATTTCAAGTGTTTCTTTGTTGTCCATGATTTTGTACACATATCAATAATAAATGCAGTCACAATGTACAGTCAGTATGGGTTTTGTTTATCTCGGTCAACGTTATTCAGATGTCTTTTTAGATAGTGGTTTATACGAAATAAAAATTAAAACAGTTAATGGAAGGTTTTGTTTGATGAATATGCAACTATAATCCTAAACATACATATTTTTTTAATATACTTACATTCATGCAAGTTCTCTGTAGGAAAACAAATTGAACAGGACTATATGTGCACATCAGCACACATTTGTATGTCTGTCATTAAGCTACTAAGTACATCAGCACACATTTGTATGTCTGTCATTAAGCTACTAAGTATCATGAAGCAACCTTTATTTATCTGTAAATTCAACTTCTAATACAAAGTATTGTTTAGATTCTGTTGTATCCAAATACGATACATCAGACTCGTACATGTAAATATTGTAAATCTGGACTTGTACACCCAATAGTGACTTCTTCCAATATCCAATCTTTGATATCTTCCATATATAATATAATTGACCTTATGAGTTAAGGAAGTGTGCTTCTTAACACTGTACAACTTTAATTTGTGTTAAGTAATCTCAACAAGATATTAACAGGTTTCTTAGTGTAGAAATCTTTTTGGAAAGGAGGTGTATATGTCACAGTAAGGTAATATACAGTTAATCCTTAAATGCAAGACTTTCAAGATTGTTGTAAGAATGTAATGCAAAACATGAAATCAAATGTTTTAAGGTTAAGTCTGTGATGCAAATTTTGAATTGAGCTGGTCTTGAAACAAATTCAACATGAGCTGCTTCGCAGTTCATTAAATTTGTTTCAAAACCATAACTCAATTCATCACTCAATGAAATCGACCAAGGCAAGATTCAATCCTTAAATGAATACATATATACTCATATCCATAATGTCTGTGCATTGTGTGGTAAGCAAATAATATGAAAATGCACATGTCATTAAAAAATAAAACCCACAAATTATCAAAGCAAAATCAGGATAACTTTATTTTCAATTTATTAAAAATCATGAGAAATTCATTACATACAACTGATACATAATATATAACAAAGATGTCAAATAGCATGTATTACAATACTACATGAATTTTCATCTCATTAACATCTGAAAATAATAATACGAAATATGTTAAACATTTATTCCACTAAAGTTAAAAGTCGGGTAGCTGTAAGTTTTACACAATCCTTCAACAGTCTAAAACAACAGATAAATAAATAAATTATATTTGTCTTTTTAGAGTTACTTCCCTTTCTACTTGATGACAAATAACCTTTGTATTACATGTCAAATAACAGAAAGTATATCTGGGTACGGGTTATTTTGATGCAACACCTTCAAAAATTCGTTAATCCAGGCTTTAATCATCTGTTAATCTTTGTATAAATGATGATAAGTTAAAAAGAAATTACACACCCGGTAATTATTTTTTTCCAAAATATTTCAGTTATTTCCATATAACATGTAAAAATATTCGAATAAGTATGAGCGCAAAGACTTCAGAACAGAATAAATTGTTTTAAATGAAAATCATACATATTTCAAGACATGCTTGAAACCTTTTTGTTTTAGAGTATATCAACAACAAACAGAAATTGTCAATGTTCAATAAAACCAAGAAGTATTTATGTACATCAAGGTAACAAGAAAAGGATTTTTCACAGCTACTAATTTTCTTGCTGGTGTTTTGTCCTAAACTGCTAGAAGTGAGTTATATCCCCCTTGAAAGTATTTGACAAAGATCACAACAATAACCCTGGTCCAACCAGTAAAGTTTGGCAATGATGTACACAATTGGCTCTAGCCTTTGACTTTACTCTATGACTGTATTCTAAAACCCAAACATATGTTGTATGCGGTAAGGCCAAATAAAATTAATTACTTGGTTCTCAGGCCAATTTTTAAATGTATTTGCTATTGGTAGCTCATCCCTAATCTAAATTAGTGCCTTAAATACCACCTAGCACATACAGATCTAGATTTTCCGTTCTAAACCACAGAGATTGTTTTCTCTTTATAAGTGACTTAAATGCACCAGTGACCAATACCCTACACTCTTCACTCAAAGTACAGCAGAAGCTGTGTCGAAGCTGATTTTATCTGGAACGTTGCCTTTCTTGATTCTGGACTCTTTATGTCTCAGGAAATTCTGAATTAATTCTTGATCTGTTAATCAGGAAGTTTATTGCACCAGACTTTTCCCAGAGGGTCCAATTACAGGATTTCATTGTACAAAAGAGGGCTATGAAAATATTGTATGTACAATACAACTATAAATATTTACACCAGGAATAATAATCATTGTAAGCAGAATGATGAGTCAGACTAGCAATAAGCTGGAAAATACCATGTGCAGGTCTCTTTCAAAAATATTTTCCTAAATATTTACTTTGCACTGAAATAACTACAACTGCCGTCAGGTATCTCTGTATTTGTTTGTTTAGTGAGTTTTTGACAGCAATAACTTGGTGGTATACTTGTCTCAGAAGTTCCAGCCCTAAGTATTTTGAGTATTTGGATCAAACTTTGAAAGTATTGATCAGATTCTAAAAACTAGACTAGAATTTTGCAGAAAAAAATTGAAGAAGGAAGTCCTGAGATTTTAAAATACAGATTTTCAAATGACTAATTAAAACTACTAGTCAGTGAAGATTACGACTTAAAGACTAAAAATAATCTTACTCTTTTATCAAAAAAATTATACAAATCTCTCATCAGTAAATTGCTTCCATGCACAATGCTTTTTTGTTTTTCGAGAAACCACATTTGCATATAATTATAATCATTTCATTTTTATCTAAATGAAACATATCTTAGCTCTATCTTTGAGTCCATATTCTTGTGTGGGGTTTATTTAATGTTGATATTGCAACTAAATTCTATTTGTTGTGATTCAAACATTATTTAAATAGGGAGTTTTTTTGTAAATTTAACAAAGGAACGTCAATTTTTATAGATACAGAAGAATGATTAATTAGAATCCATTCCAAATTGTGAGCAAAAAACTCGAGCTTCTGTTCGTTGTCATGTTCTGGTACCGTACCATACACATCATCTCATTGACTGACCAAATTGGCTTTGTGCAGTTTTCTGAGCAATTTGAAAATGACATATATTCAATATAAATACCCAATATTTATTGCATGTCAAGTAAATTAAAATTTATTTAATTTCAGAAAAAAATCACCTTAAAACATCATTTATATCCTACTTTATTAGTGACTTTAGATAATAGCTATCACAAACTTGATATCTATTTAACATATACTGCTGATCGATATACATGACTATATGTATTAAGATACACACTAGAATTCAACAGAACAAATACCACAATTGTAAATAAATATAGGTAAGACTTCTGTCCTTGTGTTCATTTCTTTAACATTTATAAAGTGCTTTTACAGCTAAACAAAGACATTTTTTCAATGCCCTAACCCCCTTTTTTAACAAAATTAATTAATTTCAAAAATAGCAACAAAAATAACTTAACTTTCTTGTTGTTGCCGAATCTGATATCTACCTTAATTTTGATGAACCAACATAGCAGATAAAATCAACATGGTCAGCACCTTTTCGAAGGTCTTACTTCTTGTTTGTATTCACACACAGCCTCAAAATATTAGAACAATGGGTTCTATTAATTGTCAAGTTATTTCGAGTTTGTGAATTTGATAATAGATAACTTTGAGATCAGAAAAAAATGCTAATATTCTATTTTTTAAGATTCATTTCAGATCAGATCTCAAGTTTATCAAAATAAAAGTCAAGTGTAAGAAAAGAAAAAAAAATTAGAAAAATGCAAATCCATTTGAACAGAATTTTTCCCAATAATATTGCAACATGTATTTTTCCCTATCAAATTGTATTATTTACTGTAAGAACAGATTTCAAAACAAATTATTTCACACATATATAATAAACAATAATTATAACTAACTGGAAACAAACCATTAATAAAACAAATCAATATATAATACGCTTTAAGTTTGCTCCGCTAAAATAAACAAAAATAAAACGTTCAAGAAAAACCTTCCAATGATGGCAGACAATTACTTGAAAATGTGAACAGATTTGTATACTCTTTACAATTCTGTTATCTGAATAGACTTTCTCAGGTAGGGGTGTTACAGAAATCCCCCGTTACAAATACCTTAACTTTTAACGCCTAAATTTTGTCCAATCAAAAGCCTGACCACAGTGGCCATGTTGTCTCATCAGAAGTCCCAATGGAGTTTGCACAATCCAAAATAACTGACCATCTAAATTTAATTATAATTTTAAGAGGAAATAGCCAGTTAATTTGGATTAGTGTTTGCAATGCCACAATAAATGTTGAAGATGACATTTCAATTTGGACCAATTAGGATCCAGGTCATAAACTTACCTATCGTTCCAATGAAGTAGGAACAAATGACCTAATAGATGACTTATAAGCACATCTGTCACAACCAATCAAATGCCACAGCCATTATCTTTACTAGGGATGCAACGATATATCGCGTTATTTTTAATAACGTATGATACACAATAATTTTTGGGAGGTTATGATACACTTAGGAATATAGAATATTTTCAGGATTTTGTCGTTTCTGAATTAAGTCTATTCATATTGATTCCAACATGGCGAGTGACAGTTCAAGCTCTGCCTGAATGCCGGAAGACGTGAATTGTGTGAAACTTTAAAAGTCATGCCCGTTTTGCTTCTACTGTTACTATATGATTCGTGATAGTATCATATCGTGACGACAGTATCGTCATATGTATCGTTTCGTGACCACAGTATCATAATACGTATCATATATCGTGACCACAGTATCGTAATACATATATCGTGACCACAGTATCGTAATACGTATCATATCGTGACCACAGTATTGTAATGCGTATCGTATCGTGACGACAGTATTGTAATACGTATTGTATCAAGACCACAGTATCGTATCGTGACCACAGAATCGTAATACATATTATATTGTTGCAGCCCTAATCTTTACAATCCTGAAACTATAACTTTGCTGGATAGACATCTATACATGCTTATCCATAGCAGTGGAAGTTTCGTTATGTTACCACAAACTTATCTCTTGACATTTCTTCTCAGAAAATGTTCATGGCAGAAGAAAGAAAAATAATATGAAATGGATCGAAAGCAATAAACCACCAAACTTTGTTTGGGGTCCTTAATTACGATTAGAAACACAGTCAAAACAATAAACCACCAAACTTGGTTTGGAGGGCACTACCATTAGACAATTGATTATTGTAAAAGAACACAGCAAGTAATTATGCTCCGGGACAGTTTCAGGAAAACACTTACTGGTATATTTTACATTGTGCAGGTTGTGATACAAGATATACCATTAACATGTATTGTTTGGCTTACATTGTATATGGGTATACACCATTTAATACCATACACCGAAAATGTCAAATATATTTTTTTCGAACTTGTTTATAACTGCAAGTTACATGTAATTGGTCAAAAAGAAAAGTATACTAGAGGTATCACATATGGTTTAGCACTTACATATATGACTTAGCAAATTTGTAATAATTCAATGAAAAAAAATTGTCTGGTAAATATTTCAAGGCATAGATATTTTTTTCAAAAATGAACAGTTCCTATTCCTATATAATACATGTACCTGTACACACAGGTATTTGCATTTGTCTGTAAAACAAGCACCTAATGACCCTGAATTTCTATCCTGTACAGTAAAATTTCTTCTCAAGTCAACATACTAATGAAACTTCTTTAAAACACATCCTTTGTAATTTTCCTGAGACTTAACTAACATACATACATGTATACTGTACTCATCCTGCAGTAAGCCCTGGGGCCAACACATGAACTCTCATTCAAAGTAGGGTTGGGCTTATTGCAGGACAATGAAATAGCATTTGTAAGTATTTGCTGGATAAATATAGTAAATGAATTACCAGGACATTTCTGATTTATTAATTTGCAATATCTGTTTAACTGGACTCACTTCTTAAAACTTATGAGAAATTCTGTTGTGTAAATAAATAGAACATCATTTGAGTCTTAGGGTTGTGCCATTTTTTCTGTCTGTAAACTTTCTGGGATTAAATTAACCAGGAGGGGCGTACTGATCACTCGCTACCCGACTGGACTGGAAGGATGTCTGGTTAGGTCTCTCGGAACCACAGGGCCCGGCTGTTGATACAGAACCTTTCCGTGTTCTTTGGCCCATCTGGGAACACGTGGCCGAGGTGAGAATCACACTGAAACATTAAACCAATTACGCATGTGTGACTGTCAGCATAACAGAAATCAGGACAAAACTTTATCAAACAAGAACCATTCTTCCAGAACTAAAATGTGTATCCTCAGACAGACGATAAAGATAACTGCTGGAAGAATCCGTTCCCAAACTAATCCTCAATCACTGACCGTGAATATTTATTCATTACCACAGATAAGTTTTATATTAAACATGTACAACAATACATTACATATTTTCCATAAATAATTGTTAAACATGCCCTAACCTACATGTCTGATTATAGCCATGACCTCTAGCTGTCCTGACCAATATTCTGGTACATGGCCATGACCTCTGCTCTGACCTACATCTCTATAGGTAATCTTAACTTCTTCCCTGAAATTCTGTAAATGATTATAACCTCTATGTATACCTTGACCTAAATGTCTGTATAAACCCTAATCTTTAAGCTTGTCCATACTGATATTCTGATGCATGACCTCTGCCCCGACCTACATTATTAGTTATATAGTCAGTTACTGACTATATAACGAATTTATCGCATCGAGGACCCTTTTTGCTTAAAATGAAAGTGACTGTTTAGTCCCTTCTTGTCTATTTCTTCCGTTGTCGTCTGCGCAAATCTCTCCATGTTGTTGTTGTGCTGTTGTCTCTCAGTGTCACCGAAACGCTTAGATAAGGGGACGGCACCCACGCTAAAACAAAAGACGGTCGCTTACGACAGCGTCTTACTAATTTTGCCTGGCGTAGGGGAAGCAACTCCTATCATTTTACGATACAATGTAGCGAATGGGAATTACGGTGAGCATTGTATCATTTTCAGAATATTCAGGTACCCGGTATCTGTTGTTTTAGTTTTGAAGCGGTGAGCAGTGGGCGGCCATATTGCCCTATAATGGAATCCTACTGACCCTATATAGAAAATTAGAGGGTCACCACGTGACAGCTCTAAACCAATGGATTTTGGACATTTTTGTCCGAGGTGCGATAATTCTGATTATAGCCATGCATGACCTCTGCTCTGACCTACATCTCTATAGGTAATCTTAACTTCTTCCCTGAAATTCTGTAAATGATTATAACCTCTACGTATACCTTGACCTAAATTCCTGTATAAACCCAAACCCTCATCCAGACTGATATTCTGGTGCATGACCTCTGCCCTGACCTACATTTCTGATTATAGCCATGACCTCTGCCCCGACCTACATTTCTGATTAAAGCCATGACTTCTGTCCCAACCTACATTTCTGATTATAGCCATGACTTCTGTCCCAACCTACATTTCTGATTATATAGCCATGACTTCTGCCCTGACCTACCTTTTTACAGATAATCTCTGTTCTGACCATGCTATCACTGTTGTCTGACCTTCTCAGGATATTGGAGCTGGACTCGTCTCCGGGGATTTTACTGTGAGCAGCAGTAAATGAAGGCCACCCAGTACCTGAGTCGTACTTTGTTTCTGAGCTAGAAAAGATGCATCAGTATTAACACTTTCATCACATTTGGGTTTTCTCTTTTTGTCCAATTCCCTTTTAACATTACTTTGATGCAAGATAGTCTGAGAAGGAGAATCTCTCAGGGTGTGCATACTTATATTGTCAGGAGTGGCATCCTTTGAAAGTGTGGTCTTTTAACTTAAATTCATTGTGAAAGCTAAAATTGTCTAATAAGTGTGGTCTCTTCACCTTATAACTCTGCAACAGTCAAGCATTTTTGTTTTTAATGTACTTGTAGCGATTATCAAGGGTGGAATCTGACAAGGGTGATCTCTCCAGTGCCAGTGATACAAATCTGTCAAGAATGGGGTTTGAAACTTGTGGTTTCATCAATGATACTTGTACTAATGTAACAATTTTAACACATTCACACCTGAAGACACACTTGAACTTGTCCAATTCAATGGTTGGAATAGTTCATTATGAAATTTCAGGGGTGAATGAGTTAATACATATAGTACATTTCTGAAAAGTGTGGCTTCTTTATGTGCCACATGTCAGTGCTGCTCAACATTACAGACTGTTGTTATTTTTATTTAACTTCAAAATAACATTAGAACAGTGCGACAGACGTTTACTGAAGAAGGTTACAGTCCAAATATTAATCTAGACATTATGATTGATTATAATTTCAAGGTAATCCATTTTGACACAATTAATAGTCCTTCACCAAAAAGCTGCATACAAAATATAGCAAGAGATTTGTCTTTGTGAACAAAATATGTCTCCCCTTATTAACTAATTGTCCAATATACTGTTAATTTATACATATTTGCTTCAGAATTAGTTACCTATATAAATTCTTCAGTGAGTAAGTAAATGCATGCACACTAGCATTTTCTTCTCTACATAAATCAAGAAACTTTATTTATTTTACAATAATTTTGAAATCAGATTTTTTTAATTATTTCAATCAAGATGCTGGCCTTGATGGAAATATGCACAGGATTTTTGATGTGGGAGGAAACTAGTGATGGGCAATGGGTTTAACATCTAACTGATAATTGGTTTGTAAACACCTTGTGCCAGGAGGCAATGGGTTTAACATCTAACTGATAATTGGTTTGTAAACACCTTGTGCCAGGAGGCAATGGGTTTAACATCTAACTGATAATTGGTTTGTAAACACCTTGTGCCAGGAGGCAATGGGTTTAACATCTAACTGATAATTGGTTTGTAAACACCTTGTGCCAGGAGGCAATGGGTTTAACATCTAACTGATAATTGGTTTGTAAACACCTTGTGCCAGGAGGCAATGGGTTTAACATCTAACTGATAATTGGTTTGTAAACACCTTGTGCCAGGAGGCAATGGGTTTAACATCTAACTGATAATTGGTTTGTAAACACCTTGTGCCAGGAGGCAATGGGTTTAACATCTAACTGATAATTGGTTTGTAAACACCTTGTGCCAGGAGGCAATGGGTTTAACATCTAACTGATAATTGGTTTGTAAACACCTTGTGCCAGGAGGCAATGGGTTTAACATCTAACTGATAATTGGTTTGTAAACACCTTGTGCCAGGAGGCAATGGGTTTAACATCTAACTGATAATTGGTTTGTAAACACCTTGTGCCAGGAGGCAATGGGTTTAACATCTAACTGATAATTGGTTTGTAAACACCTTGTGCCAGGAGGCAATGGGTTTAACATCTAACTGATAATTGGTTTGTAAACACCTTGTGCCAGGAGGCAATGGGTTTAACATCTAACTGATAATTGGTTTGTAAACACCTTGTGCCAGGAGGCAATGGGTTTAACATCTAACTGATAATTGGTTTGTAAACACCTTGTGCCAGGAGGCAATGGGTTTAACATCTAACTGATAATTGGTTTGTAAACACCTTGTGCCAGGAGGCAATGGGTTTAACATCTAACTGATAATTGGTTTGTAAACACCTTGTGCCAGGAGGCAATGGGTTTAACATCTAACTGATAATTGGTTTGTAAACACCTTGTGCCAGGAGGCAATGGGTTTAACATCTAACTGATAATTGGTTTGTAAACACCTTGTGCCAGGAGGCAATGGGTTTAACATCTAACTGATAATTGGTTTGTAAACACCTTGTGCCAGGAGGCAATGGGTTTAACATCTAACTGATAATTGGTTTGTAAACACCTTGTGCCAGGAGGCAATGGGTTTAACATCTAACTGATAATTGGTTTGTAAACACCTTGTGCCAGGAGGCAATGGGTTTAACATCTAACTGATAATTGGTTTGTAAACACCTTGTGCCAGGAGGCAATGGGTTTAACATCTAACTGATAATTGGTTTGTAAACACCTTGTGCCAGGAGGCAATGGGTTTAACATCTAACTGATAATTGGTTTGTAAACACCTTGTGCCAGGAGGCAATGGGTTTAACATCTAACTGATAATTGGTTTGTAAACACCTTGTGCCAGGAGGCAATGGGTTTAACATCTAACTGATAATTGGTTTGTAAACACCTTGTGCCAGGAGGCAATGGGTTTAACATCTAACTGATAATTGGTTTGTAAACACCTTGTGCCAGGAGGCAATGGGTTTAACATCTAACTGATAATTGGTTTGTAAACACCTTGTGCCAGGAGGCAATGGGTTTAACATCTAACTGATAATTGGTTTGTAAACACCTTGTGCCAGGAGGCAATGGGTTTAACATCTAACTGATAATTGGTTTGTAAACACCTTGTGCCAGGAGGCAATGGGTTTAACATCTAACTGATAATTGGTTTGTAAACACCTTGTGCCAGGAGGCAATGGGTTTAACATCTAACTGATAATTGGTTTGTAAACACCTTGTGCCAGGAGGCAATGGGTTTAACATCTAACTGATAATTGGTTTGTAAACACCTTGTGCCAGGAGGCAATGGGTTTAACATCTAACTGATAATTGGTTTGTAAACACCTTGTGCCAGGAGGCAATGGGTTTAACATCTAACTGATAATTGGTTTGTAAACACCTTGTGCCAGGAGGCAATGGGTTTAACATCTAACTGATAATTGGTTTGTAAACACCTTGTGCCAGGAGGCAATGGGTTTAACATCTAACTGATAATTGGTTTGTAAACACCTTGTGCCAGGAGGCAATGGGTTTAACATCTAACTGATAATTGGTTTGTAAACACCTTGTGCCAGGAGGCAATGGGTTTAACATCTAACTGATAATTGGTTTGTAAACACCTTGTGCCAGGAGGCAATGGGTTTAACATCTAACTGATAATTGGTTTGTAAACACCTTGTGCCAGGAGGCAATGGGTTTAACATCTAACTGATAATTGGTTTGTAAACACCTTGTGCCAGGAGGCAATGGGTTTAACATCTAACTGATAATTGGTTTGTAAACACCTTGTGCCAGGAGGCAATGGGTTTAACATCTAACTGATAATTGGTTTGTAAACACCTTGTGCCAGGAGGCAATGGGTTTAACATCTAACTGATAATTGGTTTGTAAACACCTTGTGCCAGGAGGCAATGGGTTTAACATCTAACTGATAATTGGTTTGTAAACACCTTGTGCCAGGAGGCAATGGGTTTAACATCTAACTGATAATTGGTTTGTAAACACCTTGTGCCAGGAGGCAATGGGTTTAACATCTAACTGATAATTGGTTTGTAAACACCTTGTGCCAGGAGGCAATGGGTTTAACATCTAACTGATAATTGGTTTGTAAACACCTTGTGCCAGGAGGCAATGGGTTTAACATCTAACTGATAATTGGTTTGTAAACAACTTGTGCCAGGAGAGGTAAAACTTGACTTACCTGAACAGTTCTGCCCTACAGCAAATACAGTCATACATTCCCTTCTCAAACTTATTTGTATAGGCACCAGTGAAAGGCTGAAAAAGGAAGTTTAGTAATTTCTGAAGATACATTAATGGTATATTGGCGCCATTGAAAGGCAGAACAAAACAATACTTATTTCCATAGCCACAAGTGATAGTATAGATGAAGAAAAATACTTAATATCTTCAATAAGATTCATCAATTTGGAAATATGTGATATTAAAGTTTTACTTTCTACACAAATGTGACACGTTTAATATGTACATTGTTTGTGTAGAAAGTAAAACTTTGATATCAATAACACTTATTTCTATTTTACAAAATTACTAATTTGTATCTGCACTGTACCTGGAAAATGATCTAATGATAGTCATATCAGCACAATTGAAAGCCTGAAAGACAACACTAAGGTAAAGCCTTACCGGTTCTGTGTGTTTTTCTCTGCACACCAAGTACTGCTCAGGAGTCAGACGTTCCTCCCAGTGCTTATTGGAAAATGTACGAGGGTCGTCTGGATCAAACTGTGCCGATGGAGATGCCCCTGATAGATATAAAAGATAAAGTCTTGGTTGTACCAAACAAGGTGCCAAAGTCGTTTAGACCTGTCTTATTTAATACATTGTTCTCTTTATCATATAGTCACCCACAGCCCTCAAGGTAAACCCCCCAATGACCCCCATGTTAATCATCAGTGTGCTAGCACACATATTGTATAATGGTAGGCCTTTATAAAACTTATATGAATTACCCCCAAAATTTTAACCTGGAAAGAAACTTGAATAACTTTAATTTAGCTTAAAAGGGGACACATCTCATTTTTTTTTTTACTTTACTGTTTCAATAATGATTTGCCAATGAACCACCCTATAGATATATTGGAGTGCTCGTACACATATCAAGCAAGGATGATGGTAGATAATTTACATTTAAACATTTGAGATTCATGTGTTTGAGGAATTATTTCAAGCTAACACCAAGCACAGGAATGAAGATATTTTTCTTAACATGTCAAGAACTAAAGCCAAAGCTTTGTGTGTAGTTGGCGCACCATTTATCTGCAATTGTTTTCTGGGTTTGGGATATAATCAACCTTAAGCTCAAACTTGGCAAAGCTATAGGCAAATTTTATTTGTTGAGGTTGATGTTTGGGTACTTACACCATTCAACATTGAAACAGAGAAAGGTAAAAACTAAGGCCTGAGGGTTTATAAAAAAATGAAGAGATTTTCAGTTGAAATAAAAACAGGTTGGAGGGAGGGGGAGTTGCAAGACTCGCTAGAAACCCCTAACCCCACCCCCTCTCAAGAAGCGCCCATCAAAAAATAAGTTTATTCCACCAACTTCTTTGTTATTTTCACAATTAGATAGTAATGAAAAGTATAAATTTATGTGGAAAGCTTAAGAAAACTGACAACAGTCATATGGCGATTTGGGCATATAAAAAAAAAAAAAACGGACTTGTCCAAGTCTACAGCAGTATACAATAAATAACCTATATACTTTGTAACCTGTATAGCACCAAATAACAATGTCTATACATAGTTATCGTTTTAAAACATGATAACAACTCGTTAAGCAGACAAATCACATTGATATATCCCGAGACGTAAGGATTTCTGCTTGTTTGTTTACATGACCTAATTTCATTATTATATCGTCTGACGTCTGACAACAGATATCGTCCAAAATAAAAATGTTTTTGCAAACAAAGTGGCATAACGCATATTCTTAAATGATGCATGCAATCAAGTAGCATATAATTACATCAGACATTCAATGAGTATCGACCATAAGAAAAACAATGTGTGAATATAGGACAGATGAGCTTGAAATTTCTCCTTCAATGACCCTTGATCACTTACATCTTACGGCCTGCTGAAGCGGGGGTAAAATCGTTTTCGTTGTATGAGGAGTTGTTCCTCTCATTGCAAAAACCCTGGATGTGCATGCTACACGGCATAAACTGCGCAACAATTTGACCGAAGAAGACATTGTGTATCCCGTATCGTTTCACTTGTGCAGGCCGGAGGAAAATTTCTCAGTCTGTCGACTGATGACGTCATGGAATCTCCCCGCGGAAAATTCTCGAGCAAGGGGAATTCCCCCTGTGCTAAAAATAAGAGAGAATCCCGGTTAATCAAAATAACAATGATATATTACCATAGGCCCATGTTCCTTAAGTTGCCGATACACTGTCGGGTAGGATTTTAACATAATGAGTTGCTTCATAATAACAATGTTGTTTGTTGCCACCATCACTTGTTTTTACACTAAATGGGTCACAAGTTTTACATTTTTAATGGATTTTCCTAAGGTAAATTGTTATGTGATTGAATCAGAGACTTATATATATACTACAAGGTCGCTGATTTAATTGAAAAAAAAGTCGATTTTTTTTCTCTCCCACATTATGCTATCTTCCGACAGCGACATATATATTTTAACTCTCTATATCTAATTCTTCTGAAATAATAATATTGTCGTGATATTTTTTTTTAATGAATTAGAAACTTTAGGCTCAATTAAAACATTTATTTAGAAATCAATTCGCACACATGCCGGAAAACTGTTGAACGGGAAATAAATTAAAAAAAATATAGTGAGGGAAAATTTGAAAATAGACAACATTTTTTATTATGCGTATGTACAGAAAAAAAACCCATCAACTCTACCTGTTGAAAACGAATTCAGTCTGAAAATTAATATGGAAAGGCAAGATATATTGAGCAGGAGCCCTATCAGATAATATTAATTTAAAGTGGATACTTATATACTATGTAGCTTGTGAATAAGTATATACTATGTGAATTATGTTATATATATATTTATATTATACAAGACTTTTATAGTTTAATAATACACAAGACCACTTCACACGTTACCCTACAGTTAGTGGGTTTCGCGGATGGCTGCGAGAACTAGCTTATATAAAAGGCCCGATCGTTTTAATTTCTTGATTATTTCTATTATTGGACCAATTGAAACGGTCGGGCCTACAAACTATACGGTTCCCACAGCTAGGTGTATGGGTCCTCTGCTTACCGGGGACTCTTGTAGAGTGCCAAACTGACTTTCAATATATACTATATAGATTGTGATCTGACTTGGAATCTTCATTTCCTGTTCCACTGCTTACCCTGGGGTGTTTCCAAGTCTCCTGACATATACCGTTTAGTAATATTTACTTCCAGCGGTGCTTTTCTGGTTATTTTCTTATTGTGTTGATGATCCGGTGCTATAAATAACAAACATAAATACATGTACATAGGATATATATATTATAATAATGTCACATCGCTTCCGCTTTGGTGCTTCAACTATAGCATGGCTAGTATTAAAAAGTGTGTACATGTTAAATGTGGCGTAATAGTATTGCCGTCCTTGGCATTAGATACCATAAAAATAAAAATTACCGCGATACGTGTCAGTTTAAAAAGTCCCTTACAGCTTACATTTACGTACACACAGACCGACGGAAAATTCATATGAGTATGTGTTATAAATAGAAGAACTGCATATGTTACATAATTACCCTATAAAATAAATATAGAAACGCCTGTATAGGAATATGAAATCGTGGAAAATTACTTTAACAGCTTATATACTAAACGAAATGCGGCGAACCGGTATTATAGGTATCACATTACTGTTGGTATGCTCTTTCTATTAATTATACCTTACGAGTCTTTGATTTAAAATGATAACCACAATTAATGTTAGACATACTTCTGTTTATATTAGCACAATCCTATCACAGGGTGGTGGACGGTTTCCTCCGCCTATCACAGGATAGACGGTCTCCTCCGCCTATCACAAGATGGACGGTCTTCTCCGCCTATCACGGGATTAGACGGTCTCCTTCGCCTATCACAGGATCGACGGTATTCTCCGCCTATTACAGGATGGACGGTCTCCTCCGCCTATCACAAGATGGACGGTCTCCTTTGCCTATCACAGGATGGACGGTCTCCTCCGCTTATCACAGGATGGACGGTCTCTTTTGCCTATCACATGACTGACGGTCCTTCTTCGCCTATCACAGGATGGACGGTCTCCTCCGCCTATCACAGGATGGACAGTCTCTTTTGCCTATCACAGGATGGACGGTCTCCTTTGCCTATCACAGGATGGACAGTCTCTTTTGCCTATCACATGACTGACGGTCCTTCTTCGCCTATCACAGGATGGACGGTCTCCTCCGCCTAACACAGGATGGACGGGCTCCTTTGCCTATCACAGGATGGACAGTCTCTTTTGCCTATCACATGACTGACGGTACTTCTTCGCCTATCACAGGATGGACGGTCTCTTTCGCCTATCACAGGATGGACGGTCTCTTTCGCCTATCACAGGATGGACGGTCTCCTTCGCCTATCACATGACGGACGGTCCTTTTTCGCCTATCACTTGATGGACGGTCTCCTCCGCCTATCACATGACTGACGGTCTCCTTCGCCTATCACATGACTGACGGTCCTTCTTCGCCTATCACACGATGGACGGTCCTTCTTAGCCTATCACAGGATGAACGGTCTTTCATAGCCTATCACATGATGGACGGTCTCCTCCGCCTATCACATGACTGACGGTCTCCTTCGCCTATCACAGGATTGACGGTCTCCTTTGCCTATCACATGACTGACGGCCCTTTTTCGCCTATCACATGACTGACGGTCTCCTTCGCCTATCACATGACTGACGGTCCTTCTTCGCTTATCACAGGATGGACGATCCTTCTTCGCCTATCACAGGATTGACGGTCCTTCTTCGCCTATCACAGGACGGACGGTCCTTCTTAGCCTATCACTTGATGGACGGTCTCCTCCGCCTATCACATGACTGACGGTCTCCTTCGCCTATCACATGACTGACGGTCCTTCTTCGCTTATCACAGGATGAACGGTCCTTTTCCGCCTATCACAGGATAGACGGTCCTTTTCCGCCTATCACAGGATGGACGGTCCTTTTCCGCCTATCACAGGATGGACGGTCCTTTTCCGCCTATTACAGGATGGACGGTCCTTCCTCGCCTATCACAGAAAGGACGGTCCTTTTCCGCCTATCACAGGATGGACGGTCCTTTTCCGCCTATCACAGGATGGACGGTCCTTTTCCGCCTATAACAGGATGGACGGTCCTTCTCGCCTATCACAGAAAGGACGGTCCTTTTCCGCATATCACAGGATGGACGGTCCTTTTCCGCCTATTACAGGATGGACGGTCCTTCCTCGCCTATCACAGGAAGGACGGCCCTTCTTCGCCTATCACAGGAAGGATGGTCCTTCTTCGCCTATTACAGGATGGACGGCCCTTCTTCGCCTATTACAGGATGGACGGCCCTTCTTCGCCTATCACAGGAAGGACGGTCCTTCTTCGCCTATCACAGGAAGGATGGTCCTTCTTCGCCTATCACTGTCCACTGTCGTATCTTCGTGTCTGCGTGTCTAAACCAATTGTTGTTGACCACCTCGCGTCTCTTTATCCATATCCATTTGGATGTCGGACAATTCTGCCTATCTGCTCTCTATCTACTCCCAACAGTTGCTTTTGTTCTGAACAGAACACGCTTAACAACCCCAACGTCATGAAAACTGATTGATCAGGTAAACCCTGCAACACACCGTTACTAGCTAGCAGACACAGTCTTGTTGTTGGCGGTCAACCAGCAGCGGGTAATTTTCCTTTTCGTCTCATGTGCTTGTACCATTTGACTTATCATGGTACCGTTAGTTCTACCACAAGGACCAGCTGCTTGGGTCCGGGATTACAATACAGTACCTGGATGTAGCGGTGTTGAAGTCACCTCTGCTGAGAAACCAATACACTGGTGATCGAACACCTGTTGTTTTTTATTTGTATTTTTCCCAATCTCCTGCTAGGATCACGCCTCCCTCCAATTTGCCATTTCCTTAAGTCTCCGCCTTCACAAAGATAACACAATGGTCCTTTCGTGAATGCTCTTTTCCTCTCCCGAAATTGTCTACTTTCTGTTTTCTCCTATAAATGGCCGAATGGTGGCCCAATGTGTACCTCCCACCTGCAAAGGGACCCTTGTGTGATGCTAACTTGACCATTGCTCCATGTCGTCTATGTTGGGCAGACATAGTGGTAGTCTGTCTGCCGCTTCACTTTCTTGATTGACAGCTGGGTTCGATAACCTGGCTTCACAGGTCTCAAGTGCTAAAGCTGCGAAGTACTTTCAACCTACTCCTCAGCGAAGGTTGCGATGCCATGTAGACAAGCTGAAGTACTAGTAGTTAAGTCATCATCGAATTCAAACGAATGAATTCAGTTTCAGTTTCTTTATTTTCGAGAGCCATCCGACTCATAGGTTAAATGTGTAACAATTACATCATGTAGTACACATGTGCAAGAGATTATTATACAAATTTAAATTAATAATGAGAAACCACTTTAACAACACAGGGACTTGAGCATTTGTTACAGCTTTCTTTGGACCTTAATGAACTAAGGTGTTCAGACTAATTTTACACGTCTTCGGGATAGTTTGTTGATTTTGATTTTAAAATAAAAAAAATGTGGTGAGAATATCAGAAAATACATCGCTAGGAGGCAATCTTACCTAAGCAAGGTTCCTTTTACGGGCTGCTTTAACGTAATGCATTATGGGAAACATTTGGTGTTCGGGTCTATTTATTTACTTTTATCCGCATTTTTACGTCTTCACCAATGTTACAGATGTAGTAGTGCGATGAGCTGCTACTGTTACCCTTGATTATGTACGTAACAGGAGAAGAGAATCGCACGGCCATACCAGGATTCGAACCCAGTGCCCTCGATCCGAACTCTAGACGGCTACCAGGCCGCCGACATTAGACCACCCAGTCCACATCCGGCACATTCCGCTCCCTCTTTATTGTAAGTCTTCGATCCCGCAGATATCATTATTTACAGCCTTGAGAACGGGGATCCCTTGTTAAGCGAAAACCAAATATTTGAAACAAGGGTTTATGACATGCATCATTGTCACAGGAACCTGAGCATTTTTTTCCAGTTATATATATTATATTTGGCCCTAAACTAAGGTGTTCAGAGTAATTTTACATGGTTGAGGGGTTTAGATCGACTTTCGGTAACATTGCCACCCCATTGCTTATATATACGAGCGATCTAAACCCCCTAACATGTAAAATTACTCTGAACACATTATTTCAGGTCCAAATATATATATGTAACAAATTATCAGGTCCCTGTGATCATTGTAACAGGAGATGGGTCGGAGATAAGCTATAAGCAATTCACCAATGAGAATATAATATTTGAAAAAAAAAGTCAGTGGCCTGACTTATAACCAGCAAATGCTACTTTAATCCGGTTACACTAGTTCGCCCTTGTCCGGCGCGTGGTCGAATTCACGGAAATAGCCGAGCGTGGCCCAATTGCAACGGTATCGCCACACGTTAAAAATCTTAATCAGGATATGGTGCAAAGGGCGTTAACGTTTTTGTGTTAAAATTAAGCGCATTTTCGATTCCGAATCAATGTAAGCATGTCAACGACCCAGATGTTATGATTTTTTTTGACGTTTGTGGTTGGTTTTTGTCCTGCAACAGCAATCGACAGACAGAAAAGGAAATCCAATGGTAGCATTCTTGTAAAATAAGAGGTTTTTCGCAATTGAATGTGTGTGATATGTTTTCTAGTATGACGCATTCTAGACGAAATCATGTTGTGATGCATTTACAATATGATTTTATCACATTATTGTGATAACACTAAAAGCTCTCGGGACACGACACACGGTTATCGAGTAGGCCCTTCATGATCTGCAACAGTTCGTCTGTTCATAATATTTTTTGTAGAGAAGACATCTTCATCTGATATACTTCCTCCGTCGATACCGACGATTACGGAAGTAGGGTCGTTGTGCTATTGTGCGTTAAATATGTACAGTGGGGTTTTTTTTGATTTTTTTTTGTTATTTGCTATAGGATAAAAACAGGTTAAAAGCAGTGGAGTGTTAGTTATGTTGTAGGTTTTGTATATGTTCGATTATGTTGTATGTGGTGCATGTCCTGAATTCTGCTAGTGTATTTGATTGAATTAATTATAATTACAGTACTGGATGAACATACTTTTTCTGGTGTTTGTAGCCAGAGTTTACTCTGGTTCCAACACTGGGCAACACCAGACTTTTCAAGAGGAAACTCTGACTAAAGGTCATGTTGGCAAATTAATGATAAATTGTAACAGGAAAGAGAGCAGTGTGCTTCCCCCGGGATCGAACCCGCGATCCCTAGGTTCCACGTCGGACGCTCTAACACTGAGCTAAAGGGAAATTTCCTCTTATTCGAATCTAGAAGACGATCGTAATCCAATGTGTGTACAATTCAAATTTTCCACAGTCTACTCCACCCTTTTTAAATGTTTTCGCCTTCAAACACCACAACCCAGGTTCAAACTCCATGTCACCACAGGAACCCGTCACAGACACAATTTGTAACAGGAAAGAGAATAGTGTGTTCCACCGGGGATCAAACCTGCGATCCCTAGGTTCCTAGTCAGATGCTCTACCACTGAGCTTAAAGGAAATTCCCTCTGGCTAGAAGGCGCCTGCAATCCTATAATTAAGATCTGCCACAAAGTAAATATATAATAATATTTCTTTACATGGTGTACATTGTCAACAACAAACTCTGTAGAGCTTTGCGACACTGCTAAGGGAACAAAATGAAGTTTTGGTGGTAGAGGAAAACCCATGAGGGGATAACCATCGTGCCATCGGAGAGATAACAACAAACCATAGGAGACATCCCTCTCTTTTTCCGCCACTGCTGGGGATTGAACCATAATTCTTGGGATATTGAGTGATCTGAAGCTCAGGCTTGATTGCACACATGCAGTAGAAATGACTGCACGTTGGTGATGACGCCTACCAAAGCACCCATAGCATTGATGATAAGTTGAGGGGGCTATTTTGTTATGTATATTCATACAAATGCAAACAAGACCTTGTGGTAGAATAATGCCTACAGTACAGGATCCATTTTCCATTTATACATAACAGCACCAAAATTATTTGTGACTACCCTAAACTTTTAAAGGCAATTTTCAAAAAAGCTTTGTTAAAATCAAGATCACTCTCTTAGAAATAAGATCTCTAAACATTATAATTATAATCGCTAAATTTCACATTTATAAGCAAAAACTGAGAAAATGCATACCAAGTATTTTAGGTTTTAAAACAGAACTGGACAGGTATATACAATATGAAGAAATCATAGCAAAAAAAACCATGGAATACGAAAAATTAAAATTAAAAAAAATAAAAACAGTGTCCAGGAAAAATATAAGATGGGCAGTCAAGAGGAATTTTCATTGTATATTGTTCACAGATCTATATATTTATATACCAGATATATTAATTTTAACATGTACAATATACTGTCAAATGTATAATATGCAAAAGGTTGAATAAAAACATGTTAATTTGAAAAAAAGATCACTCTCTTATATAAAACATATAACATTATTTTAAAAAATAAAACTTGTTACCTACCTTCCTACCATTTATTTGTCAAACATGTTACAGGAACATGTTTTTTTTTTGTCTGGCCATATTGTAAATTAAACATAACGATGGTTAACCAAGTTTTGTATCAAAGCAGAATATTGCAAGGAAACCCAATTATTTTTGTATATAGATTTCTCAAATATTCCTTTGTATCTGTTCAAATGAGTCACTTGCCTCACACCTTCTGAGGATGCTCACACTTTCAGTCTATCACTGGGTATAAAATATGATAACTCAACAACCACGCCAGTGATTTACTATACATTTTTAGGTTCCAATATTAAAATATACATTATCTTGTAAATATGAACTGATGATTGTCTTAGACATAACTTTTCTTCATGATTTCAGGTGCCTTACTCTATATATGATCTGTACTCTAGGGCTGTCACAATATAGTGAGAAACCAGTATGTATATTGCAATACACAGGCATATTTGTTGCAATGCAGTAATAAAGTTTCGCTGTATTAAAGGATATTTTTAATATCTGCTAGGTGTTTTAACTTTTCAAATTACTACAAATTCTAACATATATATATGCCAAAACCATAAACAGGCTTTTACCATTGGTTGGAATAAGTTGAAATTTTAGTATCAAAAGTTGGTTTAACAAAAAATGAAATCTGTTTGATGTACCTTATATTATAGTGGCATTTGATTTTATAGCATGACATCATGACATGACTACATTGCAATGTCCCTGTTACTGTTCCATACATGTAATACACATTGTGTGTAATTTAAGATAGAGATTTATTATGTATTCCAATGCTATCTTCATTGGACATTTATGCTTTTGAATTCTGTCAAACTAATTCTTACTTACACTTGATTTCTTATTTCAGATCAACATCAATATCACTGCAGTTTTAATGACAACATTGAAGTAAAAGCTCACCTGATCATAACTGTTGGAGAATAGAAGACTGATTTTACGTTATAGTGTTACAGATGTAGATAGATTTAAAGTGTCATGTCCCTTCTGGTAAGTTAGTTAGTTAGTTAGTGTATTGCTTAAAGCTATAAGTTAATATATAGATATGAATTTAACTATATTTGTTATAGACACATGTGTTTTGAAGTTACAGAACTATGTTAACAGACAATTCGTTTTTTAACTTTTATTTCAACAGCCTAGCTATACATACTGCCGGCATGAACTGGGAAAATACAAGTTTCTTATGGGAAATAACTAAAACAGGTCTCACAGAGTCAGACTTTTCTTCATTTTGGCTAGGGGAAGTATTCTGTTTTTAACTGTAACAAAAAATGAAAATTTCTGAGGATATCATTCATAGATAAATTATTATAGGCATTAACAAACAATGTTTTGCTTTTACAGATTTATATTTAAAATGTGAGTGTTATACATTGTCTTATTACATTTTTAATATTTTATAAATTTGTTCGTAGATGTAGAAATTGATTTACACATACAGTTCTGATAGTTACAAAATTTTACTTTATTTCCAGTTATTACACTAGAAATTAGACACTGTTGATCAATCGACAGACTTGTTAAAGTCTGCTATTATCCATCCTTGATATCCAGGAGTTGCGCTCACTTTCGCTCTCTACACCCCTGGAATATGTCATAGCAAAATTGAAGGCTCCTTGTGCGCCACCTTGTTGATGAGACAAGAAAATTAGTTCGATCCTTTGATATACATCAAAAGAATCTCACGGTCATGTAACGGTAAAAATTGACAGGCTTTGAAGTTAGGCGTATCTCCTTTGTAATCTACAAAGGACAGGTATCATCCTAGCGATTGGTCAGGTTTTTTTACCCGAGACCAATCAAACAGCTATCTTCATGCCTTCAATTTTGCTATGACATATTCAAGGGGTGCACAGAGTGAAAGTGAGCGTAACTCAGGAGTGGGCTGGATATCGAGGATGGCTTTTATCATGCTGTGGCAAAGTTTTGTTTTAAAACATCATTTTCGTTTCTGAGGTTGTATGTTTTTCTTTTTACAATTTTTGATTTCATATTGTTTTACATTGGATTTTTGTTGAGACACGTTTCCCCTCACAAGATACAGAATACAATTGATAATATATACCATTTAATAAATTTCACAGAATACATTTAATAAATCATTTCTTTTAATGTTGAATGTTATTGTATTATGAATGCAAATTTTTAAGTGACTTTTCGGAATAAAAAACTAAATTATGACATTCATTTAAATAAGTTATATCAACTAGGGTATTTATACCTATTGGCCTCGATTCTGGTCAAAATTATTTTTATATTGTTAAAAAATAGGTCATTTTATGTGCACCATTTGATTTTTAAAAATGATTAAGTATTTATTGATATATATATATATAAAATTCCAAGTTCTTAAAGAAAATGTTCACCACTATTTTTTATCTGTCTAAGAAAAAAATAAAACCTATTTATGAAGCATAATTATAGTACATCATTAATGATCAATTTTGGATTCAGATTCCATATAGGTAGATTTAGTTTCCTTTTATCCCTACATGTATGGAATTCAGTTAACTTTTCTTTTCTGATCATTGAAAGTTTGCTCTCCATTTCTAGATGATTTATTTCTTCACACTAGTTTAGTTCCAATTTAAATCTTATTCTTTGTATTCTATAAATCATAGTTGAACTTTTGCCATACATTGTTATCTTCTATTTTGATGGTGAATTGATTATGACAGCTGTTATCAGCACATTCACAGCTTACTATACGAAGAATTTCCCTTTTTTACCACACGATTTCCCTCGCTTATGGATACACCAAGGTCATATACTTTTTTGTGTATACAATGTATTACATTTTATATAATAATGTAAATCTATCGTGACTTAACCCTTTCACCCCTATGTAACTTTAGTAGACTCTACCATGCATTGATCTGGATGAGTCCATTATGGTCTACAGTGGTGAAAGGGTTAAGAGTAATGACAATAAACATGACGTCATGACATTGTGCTATAACTCTGTAACAATTGTAGAAACTTTTCTGTTTGTAGCAGCAATGTGCCTGTGCCAGTTCGAAAACCAAGGAGTCGCCGACAGCTGTGCCTTACAGTCGTAAACACCAGACCACGTCAGCGGTAAGTTTCTCCCTCTGTCAACAAAAATTAACTCTGAACATGTCCACGGTAAGTTTATTCATTTGTCAGCTCCCGACTGTATACTTTGGTTGTTAAGAACAGAACATGTCCATGGTAAGTTTTGCCATATATATATATATAGGTGTTGCTGTCTCTAATTTCACAATTGTAATGAAATTTTTGTTGTTTTATTAGTTCCTTAAAATGCTACTGAGAAAAGTATTTTAAGCATGATGTAAGGACTTGGAAACACATTACCAGAGCAAAATAAGGACAAATAAGTCCAAATTTAAATTTTGAAATCTATTTACCTATATTTTGTATTCCTTTAGTACTCTATTGACACAGTGAGATTAATCTATGAAGGAGGGGCTTGTCTATAACTCATTTATTCCTGAAGGACATTGGGGACTGTTTGTCATTATATATGTCTGGTTGCATTTAAACTACATGTATGTTATACAGTGAAACCTGTCTAATATGATCTCTAGGTATTCCAACTTCCTGCCTAATCTGAGCCTGAGTATTGTTTAATGTTGTCTCATTGGGCCCTGTTTATTCTGACATCCTGTGTAATCTGATCCCTAATTATTAAACATCCTGTGTAACATGACTCCTGATATTACTGTCATCCTGTATGATCTGACATCTGAGTATTATGATCGACATCCTGTCTGCTCCAACATAATACTGAACCACATTTATTATGAAAATTAACAAATAAGACCTATGAATTCCAGCATCTAATAGGCTATCCAGTATGCTGTATCACACAGGATGTTGGATTAGAAAGTTTTCACTGTATGTGGATCATAGAAAATTACCCATAGAAAAAAGTATAAAAATATGTATGTTGTAAAAGGGAATGTATTGTATTGGTATTTTGATTATTCACTGCTTGCTTCGTCCAAAACATGAGAGAGTCTGGATATTTTGACATCCTTTAATGATTGTACAATTATATTTACTATGATTTCAACAGTAAAATCTATTTTTGGAGTGAGTATAGAATTATTTCTTTTACATGTAATTTGTGTACATATTATATGTTGTTTGTGGGAAAGTAATATAAAGTATATTGTGTACAATCTTTTACATACTTTTTTAAACTACAAATAAAACATGTATAGACATAAAATTATTACACAAAATTATGTGTATTAAGTTTTAAACTGATGAAACCAAAATGTTAAGTTTTTGTTGGTTTCTGCTTATTTTAGAATGTCAATTTTTCAAAAAAATGCATAATAATTATCCTTTATGAATATATTGTTTATTGTTTATCTGGACAATAATGTTTGTAATTAGATCATTTCAAACAAGAATCCTTGTAATGCAATTGAAATAATAAAGATTTTGATATAGCATGTCTAGCACTGGTTATGCGTCCCCTATCATTAAACGATTGCCGTTCTATGAGATGGTCTGATAGATGGTAGGAGCTTTAGTTGGTATATATGTTTATAGCACAACCACAATGCTTGGTACACAGATTCTTGTGTATATAGGGATCACCTTGTCCACCGGGGTCAGGCCAACACACCTCAATTAGAACTGGGTCATTCAGGTTTTATATGTGCATGTAACTGTGTCAACTATATCATTGGCGTTTTGGTGATCCCGGTTAGACTGGCTGTGATGTTGATATATATATATAGATATAGAATCATTAATGTTATTACTAGGGGGTGTATTGGTGATCCTGGTTAGTCTGGCTGTGATGTTGATATATATATATATAGATATAGAATCATTAATGTTTGCTAGGGGGTGTATTGGTGATCCCTGTTAGACTGGCTGTGATGTTGATGTATATATAGATATAGAATCATTAATGTTTACTAGGGGGTGTATTGGTGATCCCGGTTAGTCTGGCTGTGATGTTAATGTATGTATAGATATAGAATCATTAATGTTTACTAGGGGGTGTATTGGTGATCCCAGTATAGTCTGGCTGTGATGTTGATGTATATATAGATATAGATTTATTAATGTTTACTAGGAGGTGTATTGGTGATCCCTGTTAGTCTGGCTGTTATGTTGATGTATATATAGATATAGAATCAGTAATGTTATTACTAGGGGGTATATTGGTGATCCTGGTTAGTCTGGCTGTGATGTTGATATATATATATAGATGTAGAATCATTAATGTTTACTAGGGGGTGTATTGGTGATCCCTGTTAGTCTGGCTGTTATGTTGATGTATATATAGATATAGAATCAGTAATGTTATTACTAGGGGGTGTATTGGTGATCCCTGTTAGACTGGCTGTGATGTTGAT